AAAGGGGTGATGCAACTCGTGCTAACAACCATACAATGACACAAAAAATTAAAATAAATGACTCAATTCTGAAAGCACCCTGTACAAATAAGTTCGAGATAACTTTGAACAAACTAGAATATGTGTAAATACTGAAAAATCCACACCAACGGTAGGCTCCACTTCCTACATATACATTGTACAGTATACGTAATAACTCCATCGGGACATTAAATCATAGTATTGAATTGACGGTCATATACCACCGACGGAACGGTCTTTTATCGCTGAACTATAAGAAAACATCAAAAAGATATGTCTAGGAATATGTATCGATATTCAGCTTAATAAAAGGCACATCAAACGTACGTTAAGAACAGGTTTTGGTATAAGTGCCCTTCAACCTGAATATTATAATGGTTTTAGCTCACTTAGCACCTTATCTTCGAGTATTTCCCTTGATCATCATAATTGATCCACATCACAGCTTCTAAGCCAACAACGGCTACATTCGAATATTAGGCTCGCAACGAAAATCACAATCATAGCGCGTCACCGGTGATGCGCTTATCGCATACCCCCTTAATGTACATTAATAAAACTGGTTCATGGTTAGCTATTTCCAAGCATATTAGTTTGATAGTATAGAACTTTCAAACTGGTTCCAGAGAATCCAGTTCAATTGAACCGCATAGCTTATTAACATAGAACAATTGAAAAGTTCATTAAAAATTAATATTCCAGAAAAACTGTTTTTGACCACGTTTTCTATTTCGTATGGCATTGGTGACGCACACAGCGTCAAAATACCTTAACTCTAGCTTAATGTTTCGCTAACATTGCTTACTAAGACAACTTGTTCTACTGTCAACAACCTTTCCCAAATAATCATCTGCAACGGAGGTATGGAGCATCCACATTTTGAAATTTCATCTAAAAACAAGCCTGAATTCATTTTGAGGAAATTCGTTGCTTTCTTCTTATTTCTCTGGATATACTTCAAATTTCAAGGCTTGTTAAATTTTGCTACCAACTTTTCTTAGGCTGCATCTGTATATGCAACATTATGAGTTTGATATATCCAACAAAATTCTCTTAACTACGCTTATGCTTGCTGTGATTTTTGCATCTCTGGGCTCATTTATCAGAGCCCCTATAATGTATATTGTTACCGTGGCAATGCGAAACCCCCTGTTTATAATTAAAAGTTAAACAAAACTTGAACGTATTTCATGCTACTTCCAAAACTTCTTAGAAAGTTCGCTCAGTAGTTTAATTTGCGTATCCTGTTCGAGGCTTTTGAGAGTAGTTCACATGCTTTTGTCATGGGGCTGCCGACGGTGAAATTGTAAAAGTTCAACCGTGAGTATGTCCGCTCATGCGTAATCTGGGCTACAAACCGTTTCTGTTTAAGTGATATTCTGAGGTAGAATCTCACATTCTCACCTTTTAACTTTCCACGCGGATTTTAGATGATTTACTTTCAGCGCGAAGAATTTCCATAACTGAAATATATCTTATGTTTGTTATGTGACATGTTCATCACGAAAACTATCTAGATATTACGTCATCATTTTAGTCTGTAGTAAAGACAAAGGACAGCGATTTGTGGATATTTTTAATGATGTTTCAAATATCAGGTAACCAAATCAGTTCGTGCGGTTTTTAGTAGAAAAATATAAACTTTTATTGAGAAACAATAAGACACTATTTATTCATCGAAGTAAATAACCATCACATTCAATGACCTTTTGCCAACGTGGAACCAATTTTTGTATGCCGGTATTGTAGGACTCGCTGGATTTGGAGACAGAAAATTGGCGGACTGCATTTATTACACCATCTCGAGTTGTGAACTGTCGGTGCCTCATACAGTTGTCAAGAGACAAAAAAAAAAGGTGATAGTCACTGGGCAAAATGTCGGGAGAATATGGCGGGTGCGGTAACGTTTCCCGCTTAGTCACTCATCGACTGTGGAGTCAGGGCAGCTGGGCTTTCTTGAATCCTGTCAAGGGGCATACTGCCATCTTAGTCGAATTACAAAGGGAGGACCCCGTCCTAAGCAGGGGTGATCGCATTACCCCTAAATATCGCTTCAACGGCAAGTTTATTGTGGAGTATCCAACGAGGGAGGAGTGGGACGCCGGTAGCCGGGGACTCTCCGGCAGGGAGTCTCTGGATTGCCTCGCAGCGAGGCATCCGGTATCGTTAATATGGGTACCGGGGCACGCTGGGATAAGGGGCGATGAGACGGCGGACACTCTGGCGAAGACAGGATCAGCCAGCAAGCTCGTTGGTCCTGAGCCAGCTCTAGGCGTGACCGCGCATAAAGCTAGCAGGAAAATGGAGACGTGGGTCCAGTGCTAAGGATGGACGCTTCTGCCTATCTCTGGATAGAGCCAACCTAAGGTTGCTGGTGGGACTGTTGTCTGGCCATAACACGTTAAGGCGTCACCTGCACGTGATGGGGGTGGCTGAGGATCCCTTGTGTGAACGCTGCGGCGTAGAGGAAGAGACCTCGGCGCACGTTTTGTGTCGCTGTGAAGCTCTGAGCTACTATAGGCTGACTATACTGGGGTCCATTACTTTGGACCCTCAGGGTCAGAGGCTTGTGAAGGATTGTAGAGGTGCATAAGGGCCTGCTTAAGCGGCCTATGCACTGGCTCCTTATGGTGGCCGGAATGCCTCTTATTTTAAGATTCATTCATTCATTCAACGTTTCCCAGCCGAGTTCAGAATTCTTTTGACGGGTCACTTTTGCGGTATGTGGCTTGGCGTTATCCTGCAAGAATATCAATTTCTTCCGATTTATCAAAGAAGGCTGTTTCTGGACGAGTGCTGCTTGTACTCATTGATCCCTTACCAAAAACCCGTAATGGACAGTTCCAGTTGCTGTCCACCAAACACACAACAAAACCTTGTTTGGGTGCAAGGAAGCCTTGGGCGTGTGTGGTACCGAATCAGTAGGCGACAACCAATGATACGAGCGCTTAGAATTCGAATACAAGGTCCATTTTTCGTCGCAGGTTAATAACCGATTGAGAAGTGGATCATTAGCGTTGCATGAAATGTTTGCTGAACAAATGGTAAGATGACTTAATTTGTTACCATTTGTCAGTTTATGTGAGACCCATTTGCTTAACTGCCACGTATTTAATAGCTGATGAAGATCCATACGAATAGTTTCACGACTCACTCTGAACATTTCTGGAAGTTCTTGGCACGTTGTCCTGGAATTTGCGTCCACAACCTGTCGAAGATCCTATCGATCAACAACATCCATAGCAATGTGCGATATACAGCAATAAGCTCTATTGCTAATTTGTATGTATCCGAAAAAGATAGACGATGTTTTTATGTTGCACGATCGATCATATATGAATGATGAGTAGTTAGGTTATGTTAAAGCAGGTTAGGTTGTTTTCGAATGATACTTTGTTCTTTGGTGTTAATGTCTTAAGGTGTATTCTACTCATAACTGTTTTTTCAAAACAAAAACTCCCTACTAAAATTATTATTAAGGTATCACTTAAAATCATGAAATAAAATGAAAGCAAAAGTAATCACTGAAATAACCTGACTTCGCAAAATCATAATTAAAATCATGACATCGTGATTTTATCATCGACGTACGTCCATTGATTACTTCAGTTAGATTTATGGTATGACGTAATAGTCATCTTTCGTGATTTTGGCTATAGCAACGCAGTTAGAAAATATGTCAAATTTGGCTATAGCTGCGATATTATACAGTAGTTGGCAAGACAGCTTGAAAACATGTAAAACTAAAAATTGAAAAGAATTGAGTTTTGAAGAGTCGATTCTAAATTCGCCACTAGCTAGCCATAAAACAAAACTCAAGTTTTACGGCAATCAAAACATATTTTGCAGACATGTCCGCCACATTCGATCCGCCATTTTAATTTTTGGCAAATGGATATCATATAGGTTACCATGGTGAATCTTTCTAGTTTTTGCTATGTTTGTGATACAGAGAGACATTGTCTCTAACTGTAGGGCACATTGTGTTACTTGACTATAAGAGGTAAGAAGTTAACGTCCGTGGCCTAGTTCTAAGATATCTTATCAATTGCCTTTGTGCTCTAATGCGTTCTATGCAGAAAGCGTGGCGTCTAAACCAGTTAATCAGCTGTTGCGGAAGTACAGGTATTTGCTTAGGGCTGAGAAGCACTTTTCTCCCCATAACGTCCTCACTCTGTACAAGGCCCAGATTAGACCTAGCCTCGGATACTGCTGCATTGACAACACTGACGGCAAGGTGTACGATTTCTACGGCACTAATACGCTTTTTAATACAACGGGGTTCTTTGGGTCGTTGATTTTAAATCCGGGGCTAGTTTGTCTCTATGAAGGCATTTGAAGGTCACCTCAAAGACATCTTGAACAGAAGCCGAGAAGCTGATCCCAACCGCACATCATTTGGGTTATTCTGATTAAGTTTGAATCAGATATCAGTAAGTCACTATAAGGGAATCTGAAGGTCATTACAAGGTCGCTTAAAAGACAAATTCAAAATTATTCAAGAATTCGAATCCAGACGCGTCGTTGAGCTGAAATCCGAGGTCAATTTGTGGTATTTTAAGGACAATCAAAAATAAAATTGGAATAGAGGTTGGTCAACGGTATGGGTATTCGTGTCGCTGGACGTGTTCTGTTATAATTTCTTTGTTTTGAGTGGTCAAAAGTGCTCGAAAATTTTGGAATTTTCACGCAAACGCTAGTAATTAGTACAGTTAACAAGCTTGTGAAGTGAGACTTCCAGACAAAGTGCATAGGCGAGGATATAAGCATTTTTTCTGCTACAAGAAACATACGTGCAAAGAAGCAAGAAAGGTTGGTTGATTTTTTTGGTTAATACAGTCCGTAGAAGATTAAATTCCTAACAAAAGAAACGCTGACAGTATAAGAGCTGATATCACAGAGTTAACTGAGCCTTTAGCGATTTTATTTTCCACCTTTTGTCTCTACACCTGACTAATGTTACTGCCTAATTTTTCGAAATGACTAGCAGCAATGATCTAAGTAATACAGAGCTGCTCTCTAAATTAGTGGAATTAATAAAAAAAGAGAGCAACAGTGTTAAAAGTGAAATCAAGCAAGAGATCCAAGAAATAAAACTAGAGAACGCGAAAATTTTGTATCTTGTAAAACAGCAAGACGAAAAGCTCGAATTACTGGAAAAATCATACAAAAAACTGGAGCAACAGAATTTACAATTAGAAAGAGCCGTCCGGAAAAATAATATACTCGTATTTGGACTGGAAGTTGATAGCAAAACTGCTAATCTAGCAGATATAGCAACAGGGAAATTAAACGACCTTTAGGAATAAACATATCTAACAACGATTTACAAAATATATACGTTATAAACAATAAAAGCTGCCCTGTTAAGATTGAGTTTATTTCGTACTTCAAAAAACAACAAGTGTTTCAAAACGTACACAAGCTTAGAGGTAGCAGTGTTTTTGTTGTGCAAGATCTATGCGAAAAGGACCGTCAGACCAATAAAATACTCCAGAAACACCGCAAAGCCGCAAAAGCAAAAAACATTCCTGCTAAAATTGTTGGTGATAAACTAATAATAAATGGAGACTCGTACACTGTCGATGCATTAGAAGGTGAAGCTGATATAGAAGAATTAGACGCTCAGAGCATTCCAACCACGCCCTCTGGTCACTCGGAAGATAATGTTGAAATTTTCAATAAGCCAATCGTTGATGAAATGACTAGCACCATTCCAGTAAGCTCTGTTCTTCCTTCAAGACCCAGCCTGTCACCTGGAGATAAGCCACCAGCTAAGAAGGCGAAACAAGAAACAAGCAAGCAGATGATGGATCAGCAATCAAGAAAGACAAGGCTACAAAGTCAATCCAGAGGGAATAAGTAAAAGAGATATATACGTACTAGTGTTTAACAGTGAACAGTGTAGAGACGAACAAGTATAAAAAAGCACATTAAAAAAAGTGAAAAACCAAAAATATATGAATATGTGTGTATGTGTATTTATATGTATAGTATTAGATCTTGATATTTTAACTTCTATGATCTGATACCTCTCTACCCTTATTGACAGGCAGTTGTTAGGTGGTATTTATGGCCTGCGGGTTTTTATAAATCCTTTTTAACGTTTTTCTTTAATGATATCAGGAACATTATTTTCAATACGTAATGTATTATAGTTGCAATGATAGATGTTTTAGTGGAAAATTAGTGCAAACTTGTGTCTTGTCGTTGTTATATATTGCATATAAATAAATATGGACACGTATATAAGAGATTTTAAAGTACAAAAAGTTAAAACTGCAGTACTTGCAAACTTGACAAATGCTGAACATTTTCTTAGAACAAAATCAGAACCCGAACTGAAGGTGCTTCACATTAATATCAGGAGCATTCAAAAAATATCAATGAACTATGTGCTCTCCTTCAAATGTTAGACTATTGTTTTGACATATTGATACTAAGTGAAACGTTTACAGTAAATGATACGAACCTTATAGAAATACCCAATTATCACCTATTTTACAACGAAGGGAAGGTTAACAAAAACGATGGAGTTCTGGTTTATACTAAGAAATGTTATAGCACATATTTTCAAATAATTGACATCCATGAAACAAAAGCTTTGAAAGTAATTGTCGAATTCAGGAACAGAAAAGTACAAATAATAGGTATATACAAATCACCGTCCATTGAGATACCGTTATTCAATAGTAGACTGAACGATTTTCTGCAATCAAATGAAACAGTTGATGTCAATTTATTGATCGGAGACTTGAACATAGACATTATGGACGAAAATAATCCACACTCCTATGAGTACCTTAACATTATGGCCGAACATAACTATTTGTCAGCTATAAACGGCTACACACGAGTGGAGAGGAGTAGTGCAACATGCCTGGATCATATTTTCGTAAATTGACCTTTTTTATCATCTGACTGTATTTCTTCGGCTATATTGCATTATAACATTACAGACCATTTTCCCATAATACTAAAATTGTCTATAAAAGACAATAAAGAATTTAAACAAAAAGCAACGAAAAAATACAGGACATATATAAACTACAAAAAGCTGAATGAAGCCTTAAGTACCGAAAACTGGTATGATGTGTACAATGAAGAGCATCCAGGCAAAGCATTTAATGTTTTTGTAAAACTTCTAGGAAAATACATAGACAGTAACTCCAAAACAATTGAGATAAATCGTAACAAGATAAAGAGACAGCCATGGATTACTAATGGGATTGTAAATTCAATTAATAAAAAAAACCAACTGTATAAGGCTACAAAAAATCATCCTGAAAACGCTCAGTTACTAAACGACTTTAAAACGTATCGCAATAAGCTAACCAAAGTCATTAACATGGCAAAAACAAACTTTCTCAAAAACAATATATACAAAAACAAACAGCCCAACAAAAATGTGGCAGTTCGTAAACAAATACAATAAAATAAAGCCAGTACATATACATCGTGTAGAAAGTCAGACGACACATAAACTCACAATAAATGATAAAGATACAGCGAATGAATTTTGTAGGTATTTTTCAGAAGTAGGGGAAATACTGGCAAAAAATATAACGCATCATGAAAAATTTGAAAGAACGCGAATACAAAATTCAATTTATCTGGCACCAACTGATCCGCTTGAAGTAAATAATAGGTATTATTTGCCAACTAAAGCTAAATAAATCACCAGGCCTTGATGGTATAACATCATATACGCTCAAACAAATCAGTAACAACATTTTAAGTGTCTTATCGTACCTCATCAATACTTGCATAGACAAAGCTATATTCCCTGATGCACTAAAAACAGCACTAGTAAAGCCACTACACAAATCTGGAGAAAAGACACAAATTTCCAATTATAGACCAATCTCACTACTAAGCATTTTCTCAAAGATTTTTGAAAAAGTTTTGAAGGCCCGTTTTACTAATTTTATTGCTAAATATAGACTTCTATCTAAGCAGCAATATGGTTTCCAAGAAGGAAAATCCACACAAGATGCAATTGCAGTTTTGATGGAAAACGTGTATACCAGTCTAGACTTAGGAAACCCATCGGCCTGTGTCTTTATAGATTTAAAGAAGGCATTTGATACAGTTGAACACAAAGAATTACTAACTACTTTGGAGAATCTAGGATTTCGTGGCAAAACACATACTTTACTCAAAAGCTACCTTTCAGATAGGAATCAATGTGTAAAAGTTAATAATTCCATCAGCGACTTGCATCATGTAACATACGGTATCCCGCAAGGTACAGTCTTAGGACCTATCCTGTTCAACCTATATGTAAATGATCTTTTTAACCTACACACACACGGTAAAATTATCGGGTTCGCAGATGATACGGCTGTTTTTTATAGCGAAAAATCTTGGGATATCTTAAAGACTCTTATTGAAGAAGATTTCAGAGTCATTATAAGCTTCTTCAATAATAAAATATTAACAATCAATTATCAAAAAACTTTATATCTGGCTTTTTCATGTGATGATAGGAACAGTCCGACATTCACTAACATACACATCAAATTACCACCCATAGATAAAGTAGTGGTCCTAAAGCCAGCAAATCATATAAAATACCTAGGAATCATAATAGACAGCCACCTAAAATGGGACAAGCAAATAGAAAGCTTAACGAAGAGATTAAGATGTCTTATACCAAAATTTAAATTTTTTAGGGAAATTCTTTCTGATAAAGACTTATGCACCATATACAAAACGTTAGTACAACCGTTGTTAACTTATGGAATTTTGGCATGGGGACCGGTGATGAATAAATACTACAGGAAACTAGAAATAACTCAGAAATGGATTCTTAAAATCATGTTCCGCAAAACTAACACCTATCCAACCGATATGATATATAAGGTATCCAAGATATGTGATTGTAGGCAACTCTATTTTGAGAGTGTGTTCACATATATTACAAAACATAAGCATTTATTAAATTTCCTCCCACATGACCATCACACCAGATCCAAAGATCATTCAGTACGCATACCAAAGCCTAAAAAGACCATAGGTCAGAGGAGTTTCACTTTCCTAGGACCAAAAATATATAACTTAATCCCCCCTCAGATAAAAGATATTAAAAATATAGAGGTTATGAAAAGGCATCTACGACTGTGGATTTTGGACCAGCACAGACTCAAGATTCATCAAGCGATTGATATCAAAAATATCTACTACTACTGAAAGCGGAAATCTCTCTAGATATTTGAAAGTTCAAAATGAAAAAAAAAATATGTATAAATCAAACTGATTTGAATTCTTACCCCCTGAATTATTGCATTTTATGACTTATTTTTACCAATTTTTGTTCTTGTCTATTCACCTAATATTGCCCTTTGTTTCAATGTTGTCTCTATCCCGATTGCGTCTACGTCCCGATTTTGCGTCTCCGTCCCGATTGTGTCTTTTTAAAAATTTTACCAGGACTTGTCTAATGAATTTTATATACATATATTTTTTATGTTTTTTTTTAGTCTTAAGTTATTTATACATGAGCTCATGCCCAAGCACAAGTTTCTGCGAAACTTTTTTGGGTCCATTCGTTTATTGTATAATATTGTCTTTCATCTACTACTGCTATACTTTTTCTTTTGCAATAAACTTTATTATTATTATTATTATTATTAATAAACTGAATAACAGTTTTGACCACCTGCGATAATAGGACAGTATAAAGGGTTGTATTTTCCAGAGGTTAGCAAAAAACAACATTAGATTTCATCTAGCAATGCCTCAGGGTTCACAGTTGGGGAAAGAACAGAAGCTTATTGAAAGCCACCACAATAATGCAAATATAAAGAAGTTAAGCTGAAAATATTAATTTGAAAACCAAATACCACTGACGTCGTAATGTGTACAAAAGAGAAGCGCGAAGAGCATGAAATACGTGCGTTAGAAAGTGATAGAAGCATCTTGTTGCCTAGCAACCCGAGGGACGAGGCCAGGGACGCAGCTGCGGCTTGGTTGCGCTGCCATCACCGCACTCTTTCTCACATACACATTGCATGCTTCTCGCGCTTCTCTACCATATGTATTGCGACGTCAGCCAAATTTAAACTTCGCCATATAAAAACGTGCATTCAACTCCTTCGGCATATATTTTACTTTGAGAGTTTGATTAAAGTCATTTTTAATGCCTGTTGATTTATCCCAAGAATCCGAAGAAACTGAAGACAGATAACAGACTCAGGTAGCCACCAGACCAACGGACTTTGCTTTCCTCCATGATGCCGCCACGCTATGTGCCTGCCAGATACACCCGCGTGACCTCGGCCTCAGAACCGGTCGATAGGAT